TCTCTTCTGCTCAGCAAGGCTGCATTTATTTGTACAGTAAAAAAATACATGCCTGATTCAAGAAGGGGGTCTCAAAAATTACCAATAAAAATTATTTTACTAACTTATTCATTTTAAGTTAAATTGTGCTTTGTTGGTATAATGTCTGCTAGAATGTTAAAAAATGTTCAGTGCTAAGTAAATATTTTTAAATTGTTGTTTTGTAATTGTTTTTTTTTTCTTAGAAAAGCACGACAAAACAGTAAAAAGCTAAATTTGGGTATTTAATTTATGCAATGGTGAAAAAAATTCAAAATGCTTGGGGAAAAAACATGAAAAACCGTGTTCGGTATTCGGCCTTAGGCCCAGTGTTTCATTTTGTTCGGCTTCGGCCAAGAATTTTCATTTTGGTGCATCCGTAATCTTAATGATACTAAAATAACACTGCAAGACATTTAAAATAAAAACCGAAAAACTAATAAAAATTACATAAACAACTAAACTAGAATTTGAACTAAAATTAAAATGAAAATGCAAAATACAAAAAAAAAAAAAAATCTACTAATTTCAAAATATATATATTAAAAAAAAAAACATAACAGTATCTCAATGGTAACACTAAAAATAATACTGCTTCTAGTGTCTTCCACCATCTTGGATTTATTTGCCCACTTAGCTTATTGCAATGCAAAAGTGATGCTTGCAACTATGATGCCATAACTTGCATGTACTGTAGGCAGCTCACTAAGTTTTGGAACAGAGCCCTAGAGTGTGTTTTTCTGAAAGAGGATACTTGTATCACATGAAGGCATCTGCAACTCAGATCACTTAAAAACAGTCTGCTTGACAGCTGTCAGGCAGCAAAAGGACTTCACAAAAGTAGTCTGACTGTATGTCGCATGCTACGAATCAACGGCATCCTAAATGCAAAATATCAAACAATGTCAATCAAGCAAGCATCAAGTTTGGTTCTCTCAGAACAACACGAGACTCAAATGTTCCCCGAGGGCGAGCGTGTTCTACATGCATGACATGCTTTATCTTGTCCTTGTTGCTCTGATCAAATACTCGACGTGCCAGACGAGTTCAAAACGCTGGGTTTTTTTATGCGATTGTTGTGATGCTGAACCCTAGAAAAATGTTTCAGATGGAGCCGTCCGACTCTACTGATGCCGCTAATGGAACTAATAACCCATCAGTATTATTAAACCACAGGAAATGAGGGTCTCTGCTGGTTTTCAAGGTCAAAGTGATGCTGCGCATTTACAGTCCATTTTTAACTTATTAGGACTTTGGTGACTTTTTTGTAAAAAAAAATTTTCTCACCTCTTCCACTGAGCATGGCAAGACCACACGACTGAAAGAAAAGAAAAAAACAACAATTATTAAAAATAATAATAATAATAATAATAATGAAAAATACAGAAATCACTCATTTTACACACTCATAAAAAAATGCAGTAACACATTCCACCACTGACAGCCTATATTAATAAGACACTATTTTCGTGGCTGATTTTTTTCAGTGCAATGCCAAAAAACAATATATTACTGAAACTAATTTCTCATTTGCTCTCACTAAATTGTATTAACATTATAAACATTAATGTATTAGTTTAATAAATGTATTTATAAAATATACATTTTTAATAGGGCTGCACGATAAATCGCATGCGATATTTAATACGCATCTTGTCAGAAAGCCGGTTCTGTAATCAGCAGTAAATCTCCATCACCTGCGTGCTTTCACATTGTGCAGCATTAACTACACAGAGC